ACAGGGAGAGCAGAATGGAACTGGAAAAAAGACGAGGAGACAACATTATCAATCAATCAATCATGTTTAGAGATATAGGAAGAACAATTCTACTAATTAATTACACACATATACTCTAGGTGACAGCAAACCACAATAAGACATGTTACTACTAATGTACATGTAAAAAGCACACCAAAGGAAAGGAAAACAAAATGAATGGACACACATTTAGCACAATCATAGTAGATGCATGGTGCGAGATGAGATGGGATCAGAGGAAGATGAAGCAATCCATGGATATGACGGGGGTGTTGAGGTCATCTACCAATTCTCCGCCACCGCCGCCGCCGGCCGCCGTTGGCCTGGCGCACTTCCTCCTCCCAGCTGAATCCGCCGATCGGCACGAAGGCGAAGAAGGCCTCTTCCTCCCGCAGGACGCCGACGCCGAGCCTCCTGCCCCCGCAGGCGGCACCCGAGGGGGAAGCGGCCGCACGCGCCTCGCTGCCGTCGTCGGAGTTGTGCTTGCGCGGCGGCCGTTGATGTTGCCAATGACAGGCTTGTTCTTCCTTGGTGACTTGACCACGGACAGAGCTGGAGGCGTTCTTGGCGAGGACGGACGCGGAGCGGCGGAGGCAGGGGAGAGCTTCTTCCTCTTCTTTACGTTGCTGTTGATGTTGGGGTCGAGCACCACGACCTCCATCTCCACGTCCGTGTCCCTGCAAGCAAGCGCCTTGAGGAACTCGGCCGAGAAGCGGGGCTCCGACGACAACGACGGCGAGGAATAACTAGTGGTAGCCGAGGAGGAGGAGGAGGTGGTGGTGGTGGTGTTGTCCATGGAGATGGATGAGCTTGCGGCCGATATCGAGGAGAAGGAGGAGGAGGTTGATGTGGAGGAAGCGGCGGGCGCGGGAGAACCGGAAGCGAGCGGGAGCGGGTGCACAGTGGTGGCGCCCAGAGTCGGAGAGCCGCCGGACGTGGACAATGGGTGGTCGTCACCGGCGGTGGGAGGGGAGGACGAGGGGTAGCATGTGCTCACACAAGTGCCCATTGACTCTCGCTGATGGTCTGTCTGCTCTGCAGCTCTTCTTCAGAGCTCACACTTCTCTCTCTCTCTATCTATCTCAAGTTACGAAACTGCCCCTCAATTGAGAGCCACAAGTTGGCGAGGCTAAGAGAATATTGCCACACTTTTTGAGTGTATGTAATGTGGGACCCTAATGTGGTTTGACTAAGATATGGCTTGAACCAAACACACACCTTGATTAAACTTGTCTAACCTTAGACGTGGCAACCTTATGCAAATTTAGTCTCAAACCGAACAGCCCCATATACTAATCTTGGTCATCAATGCATGGTAAACATTTTCCAGACTTAATTTAGGCAAGATTAGTATAAGATTTGTCCTTAGGTGAGATCAATCTTTTAAAGATACAGAACATGTTAAAAATTATTAAAAAAATAAGAGACACCCATCCATCTTTGATGTACAAGCTCAAAAGGTTTCAGCTCCTAATTCAAACTACATTTAAAGGATCAAAAAAGAAAAAAAGTCAGACGTGAATAATGTCAAAAGCTATTAACTCAAAGCTGACACTATTCATAGTTGAATTTGTCTTTTTCGAATCTCTAATTGTAATCGAGTTTTAAGCTGATTTTTTTTGGAATTATAGCCATAACCCGCAGGTATGTTGTAAATTATTTTCAGGATTTTTTGGATTGTTTAAATTTGAAATTTTTGGGTTGATCCTATGATCTCGCCTAGAGGGATGATTCTATACTAGTCTCCTCCACTTGAGGCGAAATTAGATGCACGCAAGTAAGGACTTCATGTTGCACTTCATTTGATCGAGCTTCCCGTTGCCCTCGAGTGTGACTGGGGAAAGTTATATTTCACTGGTTAAAGTCGCCGCGCTCAAAATAAAACTAGCCATGGCCTTGATCTTGGGGTCGATCTCAACAAAGCACGAGGATCTAGCTCGTGAGATTAGTTAAAGTCGTAGCAATAAAAATAATATACCATGGTTTCGATCTTGTGGGTTAATCTCAACAATGCATTCGTTGTTTTTTTAAAAGAGGAATATATTAATATCAAATAGATATCAATTACACCCAGTCTCTGCACCAACATCCAGAATGCACACAGCCAGAAAAATAAATAAATAAAAAATAAAAAAAGACCCTGCCCCGGTGATCAATCACCCGCGGTAGCAGCACTCTAACCACCACCAAAGACAACACCCGGACTATAAAGAAGGTTCTCCAAAAGCAACGCCTACAGGAAGGAAACAATGCACAAGCGTGGTCATTGCCCGATCAAAGATACAGCCAGAAAATAAAATAAAAAGAAAAATAAAGAAAAGAAAAAAGACCCTGCCCCAGTGATCAATCACCCGCAGTAGCAGCACTCTAACCGCCACCAAAGATAACACCCGGACTACAAAGAAGGTTCTCCAAAAGCAATGCCTACAGAAAGGAAACAATGCACAAGCGTTGCCGTTGCCCCCCGATCAAAGATCATAGGTTTTCACCCTGGAGATGTTAGTCGAGAAATTTGCCGCCAAGAACTAGCTCATGTGATTGATGATGACTCTAATCCCTAGGCCTGGGGGTCGATCTCAACAAAGCACGAGGAACTAGCTCGTTCAATTAGTTTAAAGTTGTCGCAATCAAAATAATCTACCATGGCTTCGATCTTGTGGGTTAATCTCAACAACACGATTCGATGTTAGCCGAGAAATTTGCCGCGAGACGCGAGAGAACTAGCTCATGTGATTGGTGATGATTCTAATCCCCAGATAGCATTTCTCACAAAAAAGAAGAGTGTGAAAGTACACACGATGAAAAGTACTGTAGGTGTTGATATATACAAAAGGAGGCATGTGGAAGTTTTATGTAAGTGGTGAAAAGTGCAGCCAAAAATGCACAAGCGTTGCCGTTGCCCCCCGATCAAAGATCATAGGTTTTCACCCTGGAGATGTTAGTCGAGAAATTTGCCGCCAAGAACTAGCTCATGTGATTGATGATGACTCTAATCCCTAGGCCTGGGGGTCGATCTCAACAAAGCACGAGGAACTAGCTCGTTCAATTAGTTTAAAGTTGTCGCAATCAAAATAATCTACCATGGCTTCGATCTTGTGGGTTAATCTCAATAACACGATTCGATGTTAGCCGAGAAATTTGCCGCGAGACGCGAGAGAACTAGCTCATGTGATTGGTGATGATTCTAATCCCCAGATAGCATTTCTCACAAAAAAGAAGAGTGTGAAAGTACACACGATGAAAAGTACTGTAGGTGTTGATATATACAAAAGGAGGCATGTGGAAGTTTTATGTAAGTGGTGAAAAGTGCAGCCAAAAATGCACAAGCGTTGCCGTTGCCCCCCGATCAAAGATCATAGGTTTTCACCCTGGAGATGTTAGTCGAGAAATTTGCCGCCAAGAACTAGCTCATGTGATTGATGATGACTCTAATCCCTAGGCCTGGGGGTCGATCTCAACAAAGCACGAGGAACTAGCTCGTTCAATTAGTTTAAAGTTGTCGCAATCAAAATAATCTACCATGGCTTCGATCTTGTGGGTTAATCTCAACAACACGATTCGATGTTAGCCGAGAAATTTGCCGCGAGACGCGAGAGAACTAGCTCATGTGATTGGTGATGATTCTAATCCCCAGATAGCATTTCTCACAAAAAAGAAGAGTGTGAAAGTACACACGATGAAAAGTACTGTAGGTGTTGATATATACAAAAGGAGGCATGTGGAAGTTTTATGTAAGTGGTGAAAAGTGCAGCCAAAAATGCACAAGCGTTGCCGTTGCCCCCCGATCAAAGATCATAGGTTTTCACCCTGGAGATGTTAGTCGAGAAATTTGCCGCCAAGAACTAGCTCATGTGATTGATGATGACTCTAATCCCTAGGCCTGGGGGTCGATCTCAACAAAGCACGAGGAACTAGCTCGTTCAATTAGTTTAAAGTTGTCGCAATCAAAATAATCTACCATGGCTTCGATCTTGTGGGTTAATCTCAACAACACGATTCGATGTTAGCCGAGAAATTTGCCGCGAGACGCGAGAGAACTAGCTCATGTGATTGGTGATGATTCTAATCCCCAGATAGCATTTCTCACAAAAAAGAAGAGTGTGAAAGTACACACGATGAAAAGTACTGTAGGTGTTGATATATACAAAAGGAGGCATGTGGAAGTTTTATGTAAGTGGTGAAAAGTGCAGCCAAAAATATAAAAGGTGCTCCCGGCGGGGCTCAAACCCGCGACCTTCGGCTCATAAGACCAACGCTCTAACCAACTGAGCTACGGGGGCTGCTTTTGATATTTATGTCTCATTTCCCTATTAATTCTTTCTTACTACAAATAAATGAATTTGTAGCATTTCCTCGTTAGTTGTCCAGCTGGCCAGGCTCCCGTTCCACCAAGTTCCAAGAGAACCACAGCACCGCCCGTGGCCTCCGCAGAGATCAAATAGAAAAACCCAAGCACCGTAGCAAATTCACCGGACGATGCCGCGGAGCTACGTACTGTAGACACGGCGGCAGTGATTAAAAGCTCTGCGCCGTTTCCTGTAGCGATATAAATCAAGCCATGCACGCGCGTCGGCTCCGTAATTCCGTATCCCCCGCGCGGCCACGAGCTAGCTACGGCAGATGAATGCATCAGCAATTCAGCATTGCGTTTGTCTTGCAGTACGTCTGTACGCGGTACTGGCCATCACTGGCTTTAGCCTGTGCATTACGCATAAGAACAGTTGCAAAGAAGATAAAAAATATCTCAATCAAACACCGTGGCACTAGAGGTGCTCGTAATTACTAATATAATTACTTAATTTATCATTAGAACGACGACAGCCACAGCACCATTGAACGATCCTTACACTACACACTCATATGACTGATCGATCAAAAACAGACACACTGAACTGAGCACACGGTACTCCAGACCTAATCTGGGAATTAACTCACAGAAGAACACTGTCACGTAGCTAGCTAGCTAGTACTCCTAGCTACTACGGCTGCCACGCGGCGAGCTGCTGGATGTTCATGGGGTAGGCGAGGTCGGTGCCGCCGGAGTAGGCGGCCTTGCCGAGGAGCACGTTGACCCTCTCGGTGGGGTGGAAGGCGTCCCAGAAGATGTAGGTGTTGCGGTTGGGGCAGGGGCGGAGGAAGGGCAGGCAGGTGATGACCCCGCGGTTGCGCCCGATCCCGCAGCACCCGCGGTCCACCACGCTGAAGCCGTAGTTCCAGGGGCTCCGCAGCACCTCGGAGATCATCTCGAAGTTGTCGATGTAGATGAGCTTCGCCCGCGGGAGGTTGGCGTTCAGGGTGTCCACCATGCCCTTCACCTTGCTGTTGAAGGGCGCGATGAGCTCGTCCACGTCCGGCGAGCACATGTTGGTCGGGTTCCGCGCCCGCATGTTGGGGATGCACGCCATCGACCCCACCCCCGCGATCACGAACCTCCGGGCCCCCAGGTTGTACAGGCTCTGCGTTCGTCCATGCATGCATGTCCATTAGTCTGTTGTCTTCAGAGACGATGCAACTTATACTAATTACTTAGAAGAATCATGGCTTACGGTGAGCTGCTTGGTGTAGTGCTGCACGAGGAGGGTGGAGTACTGGTCGCCGTTGTACTCGTTGCGGGTGTTGTAGTTGGGCATGAGGTAGTTGTTGAGGTAGTCGTTGCTGCCCATGCCCACGTAGAAGATGCTGCGGCCCAGCGAGGAGGCCAGCTTGCTCGCGCCGATCTTCCCCTTGATCTGGTTCAGCGTCGTCTGGAAGTTCTTGATCTGCTGGTTGAACGGGATGCGCCCCACGAAGTTCTGGCCCGTGTTGTCCAGGATCCCGGCGGCGGCGGAGGCGTAGTTCACGCCATGCAGCGCGCCGGCGTCACTGTCGGCGTTGGAGGCCTCGTTGTTCGACGGCAGCAGGGGCAGCCCCAGAAGCTCAGCTGCATGCATGCACAAACACGTCCAGAGTTAATTAACTGCTCGTATAATCCACGGTACGTACGTTCCGCCAAGTTGTCCATTGTTTGCGGTAACTAATCATGTTTGTACTGTACAGTAACTAAGATTTGTTACAGTGGCAGCCCCTGGTTAGTTTTGTGGTGAATTTTTGGCGGAGCATTTAATTACCACCGTAGTAGTACTATACATGGCGTCATGTCCATAGCCTGGCCAGGGTCACATGGAAACATTGACGACGCCACCATAGTGGTAGTGGTACAGGTTTTGACTGGCCGAATTCATCGCGTCATGTGCACTGTATGTGTTGAATCAATGGGACGGCATTATGATCCCGGAGGAAATCGAGTACCGCTGTGCTACACTATTACTAGCAGTACTGGTGTGGAGTGTCTCACTCTCTTTTCACTCTTCTCTCTTCCTTGAATGAGCACATGGAGGAGGCGGGTCAGTAGTTATTACAGTCAGTGCTGGTACTGGGCTTCAAGCTATGCTACCATGCTAGTGGGATCTCAGTGCTTATGTACTGAGATTACAGCTGAACTAATCATTTTAGATTTTGTTTGCAAGGACCATGCATGCACTATGCGTTGCATGATTTGCTTGGATTTCCCTAAACAGTAGTACTCGAGTGTGGATTTCCATTGGAGTAGTACATGCATGTAGGCTTTCAGTGTGGAACTCACACTTGCATATATGAAAAACGGAAAAACAATAATTGCATTGCTTCTTCAAGGGGTAAGAAAAGGAGAAGCAACCTAGCCTAACATTTTACACAATGAAATTCTAGCCAGTCAATAATTATGGACTGAGTACATGTAGATATAGAAACCCTGAGGAATGTACCTGCATATGCATGCATATCCAACTCCATCAAACCAGCTAGAATCTTTAATTAACTGAGGAAACCAGTAGTGCTTGCATAGATACTCCTTGTGATTTGTGAAACATTCTTCTAAGCTAGTGATAACGACTTCCTTGTGATTTGTGAAACATTCTTCTAGGAACAGATAGACTAAGCCCACTCCATGTGTTTGTGCATATAAAAAGACTAAAACACATCAAAGGGCCATGTATATTCCCTTTCTGGAAACAAGTCCAACATGGAAATGACTATGAGAATGACAGAAAAACAGCCGTGCGGTGTGGTGCACCATGCGCTGGATCACGGGTTTCCTGACGCTCTAGCCTCATTGCATTATTCTCAATATGAGTAGCTCATTCTAGGATGTACTAAAATTAGCAATTTCTACTCAAAAGAGGCACTATACCACTTCGCCAGCTGATTTGCTATTTCTGCAGGCAACAAAATGGCTCGATTTATACGTGAAAATAACGCATCGTATGCTACCGGCGGCAATTTTATGACTAGTTTTTTTCTGATGAGAACACTAAAACTTGCTGAAGAACTCAAGAAGTACTCCTAGTAGCTAGTAGGAGAGGAAAATGGCCATGAGAGCATGCATGCGTGGAGCAGCGCACGGACGTACCTATGGCGTCGACCATGGTGTAGCCGTTGGAGAAGCGGCCGGTGGGCCCGCCGGCGAAGTCGATGCCGTAGGGCAGGTAGTTGGCCTTGGCCAGCGACGTGAGGTCGTTGTTGTTGCCGTTGTCCGTCAGCGAGTCGCCGAACACGAACATGGCCGGCACCGACGGCCCGCCGCCGCCGCCGCCCGTCGCGCCGGTGCCGGCGCCGCTGGCCCCTGCCGCGTCGCCGGGCCCGTTCGGGAACGTGAAGTTCCACGGCGCGCGCGGGAACAGCGGCCGCGGGAACACCTGCGCCGTGGCGCCGCCGCACGCGAGGAGCACCAGGAGGAGCACCGTCGCCGTGGGCGTGGAGGAGGCCGCCATTGGACCGACGTGGAGTTCCAAGCTTGGCTAGGTGGTTAGTAGGTGCCTAGGTGTGTGGCATGCAAGACGGAGCTAGGCAGAAAGCAGGGTGCGCAGTGTGGGAGAAGAGGAGCGTCGTATATAGCAAAGGGGGGAGCGAAGGGGAGAGGGTTTTGGGGTGGTTGGTGGGTGGATGAGGGAGGGAGTAAATGCGGCTCCTGCCATTGCTGCCATGGAGATGGAGAGAGTAAATGGGGCTCTGTTGGGGCGCGTGCTCGAGGCTACGCGAGCCATGGCCGACAGCAGCTGGCGGGGTGCAGCGTGCCGTGCCTGTGATTTGTCAAAGGAGTATGGTTTTGCGCTTCTGTGGGTATGGGCCTACGGAACGGGGGAGTACGTGCTCGGCTAATAAACGGCTTGCTGGGCAGAGTACAGTAGATAAAGGCCCGGACATCAGGACTCTGATGGGGAAGGCCGTTTGGGTCTTCCATCTCTCACGCATCCCACTATCATGGGCCAGCCCGAAAAGGAGGCGTTCGCTCGCTCAGGGACGAGCCGGTTTCCCCGGTTCGCTAGTCATGGTTGACCGGTGACTTTTTGAGAAAATGCGGTTTAGAAAAATCAAGTTTAAGAAATGAAAAAAAGATAAATTTTTTAAAAAAATCACGAATTCGAAAAAAGTTTGCGAATTTGAACAATTTCATCAATTTTACAAAAAGTTCACATGTTTGAAAAAGTCCATCTACTTTGAAAACAGAGTTCTACAATTTTGAAAAAAATGTAAATTTGGAAGAAAAAAGTACGTGGATTTGAATATATTCATGCATTTGAAAAAGTTCGATGATTCAGATTTTTTTAGAAATTTGAAAAACTTTCACATATTTAAACAAAATCACGGACTTGAAAAAGTTTGGGCATTCATATAAATAAATAAATATAAGAGAATAAAAGGAAAAGGAAAATAGAATAAAAAACTGAATAAAACCATCCAGAAAACCTGAAAAAAGAAAGAAAAAAATGGTCATAAGCTTCTAGAAGCTTCCCGAAATGAGTCGGAGGCTTCTAGAAACTTCACAAAACTGGCTGGGTAACTTGAAACAGCGTCATTTGCGGTCGAAGAAGGGAAAATGGGTTGAGCCCAGGTGGAGGAGGGGTTGTCCACCAGTTTGCAGTTTGCACTGTAACCGGTGTGTGGAGTGCCGAATAGGGTTTGGGTTTTGTCTCATGTCTCATGTCTCCCCTTCCGCGCTTGCCCTAGTGGGATGGGCCAATATAGCGGTTTTAGAACTTTCCATGCCATTTTTTTTCTGAGTTTTACTTTATCTATTTTCCTATGTGATTTCTCTATTGGTTTTCATCAGTGTTGTTTCTAGGGGTTTTTTCATTCTTATTTAAAAAATACTTGTCTACTTTTATTTAAATACATTTTGAACATTTTTTCATATAGGTTGAAGATTTTCCAGATACACGTTACATTTTCTAAATACATGGTGAATATGATTTGCAAATGCGTGCTGGATATTTGCAAACTGTACATTGAGCACTTTTTTAATACACGCTTAACATGTTTAAACACTTGTTTGAACATTTTTTTAAATGTTGTGAATATTTAGTGATGTGCTGCAACATTTTTTTAATGGAAAAAATTATACATTATGAACATTGTTCTAAATTGTGCAAAACATTGTTTACATTTCATGATCAATTTTTTTAAATGTAATGAAACATGTTTGTAAACGTGCAAACATTTTATATCTTGAACAATGTTTCAATTGTACGAACATTTTTTTAAAATTACATGGAATTATCTTTACATTTTCATGAACATTTTTTAAAATGTGTAATTATCATATTGTTTTAAATGTGTGGAATTTTTTAATAGTATGAACATATTTTTTGAAATGCACAATCATTTCTTTCACACTGCATGAGCAATTTTTAAATGCACGATGAACATTTTTAATAATTTAAGTGAATACTATTTGAAATATATATATTTAAGAGGAAAGAGAACAAACTAACTAGATACGCGAAGAGCGAACAAAGCTAAGCAAAGGAATGAACGCTATTTGACTCCGTTCTCGCGATGCTTGAGGCGGGGCGTACGTTGTCTCACGTCAAGCAAACCATAAACATGTCAAAGATTTATGGCATTTCTCACGGCTCATGGCCTTAGCTACGCATGACAGTATTTAAGGGTAATCTTCATGAATCTGTTTGGGTGTTTGTGTGAGGGGGTGGGGTAGTAGTTTGCATGAAGGTCCGTCACTTTAGTCATGCCTAATAATGCAATTGCATAAACTTGTTGGACTAGGTCTCTTCACATGGAACTCCTTTGGTTCAATGACAATAGCGGAACCCTTCACATTCGTATCGGCACATATACCCACATGAATAAATATCGAGTGAACCTGTTGTTCCCGTTTGTTATTCCCTTTGCTTCGTGATACTTCACAAAACTCGAGATGAGACTTATCGACATCCATGTGAGGCAACACTTGCTCACTATGCTAGTCATCCTCGTTATCAGTTTTGTTATCTTTTCTCATTCCCGTGTTCCAGCATCCTTGCGACCAAGTCACGCCATGTTTGGCCAAAATGATGGATATTGTGATATCGAGGGGACCCTAAAAATATCTCTCCATCGTTGAAAGAGAAAATCACAGGTTTGAGCTATCAAGTCCCTTGTCATACTTTTTCAATGCATCTGAAAGTTGTCGTTATGATCACCCAGTTATGGTGACGTTTGACAGACCTCAAAGTACATCATATGGTATTAAGTTACTCGATGCTCCCGTGGTCTAAAAAATTGAATTGGTAGTGGCCACTTGACTAATATGTTTTTTAACACAGTACAGACGCAAGCGCTTGTACATACGCGCATACACTCGCCCCTATGAATGTACACACACCCTACCCTATGAGCACCTTCGAGTGATTGAACCGGCATATCATCACTAGTAGAAAAAGGGCCATTTGTCCCGGTTCGTACGGGCCATTTGTCCCGGTTGTTGAACCGGGACTAAAGGGTCGTTACTAAAGCCCTAGGCCTTTAGTCCCGGTTCTTACACGAACCGGGACAGATGGGCCTCTACGTGGCCGGTGCGGCGAGCTCAGGCAGGAGGCCCTTTGGTCCCGGTTGGTGGCACCAACCGGGACCAATAGGCGTCCACACGTCAGCAGCTGGCAAGAGCTAAGGTTTTTGTTTTTCTAAGGGATGGTTTAGGGGTTTTGAGGGGTTAATTTAGGTGTTTCATATATTGTGTTAGCTAGCTAATTAATAGAGAGAAGTGTCCTCTCTTATCTCCGTGCTTGGTCGACGCTATGTACTATACGTATAGAGAGGACTCGACACGCTAGCTAGTAAGTAAATGAAGGAAACAGAAGATCGTCATGAACATATGCATACAGAGAGATCGAAGTGATATCGACCACCTCTCCTTCTCTGAGAGATTGGTCGAACAACAAGTTTTCGTATATCTAACCGACGCTACTGGCTACATATATACAATATAAGATCTCTTACAATATAATCTCCTAATTATATATGAACTCAGGGTCCACATGGTATTCTCCATCTTTATTGATCACGTGGTCAAGAAAGAATGCCGCCAATTCCTCTTGAATTGCTCGCATACGATTTGGTGGTAGGAGTTCATCCCGCATCCGAAACATCTAATTTGAAGAAGGGGGTCAATACATATATATGAATGAATGAAACTCAACACAAATGATGGTAATAAAATAAAATTATGAATATTATTGCTTACATACTTCATATTGTTTTTAAGTGTAGCCCGCTCACAGGTCGTGTGGCGGATGGACTCGCAAACGTAGTATCCACAATAATTATTCCCGGCTTCCTGCCACAACCACTTTACAAGAAATAGAGGTCAATCAAATTGATAAGCAAGCATGCTAAATGGTATTGATGAAACTAGCGCTTGAATCACTAGGAGATGCGCGGAAAATGCTAGTAGTGCTTACTTTCGGGTGTTTAAATTACAGCTTCTTCGGCAGTCCCGGAGCTTTTGAGGTGAATTTTTTCCAAACCCTGCCAGACAAAGAAAACAATTACTTGATATCAGGAAATGAACGAAGTTGCCAATATGATGCGATAATGATCGATTTAACTTACTTCTCGAGCATTTGAGTCATGTCTGCATACTCCTGGGGATCTTTTCGTCTCGAGTCTAAGACGGTTACTAGTCCCTGCTCAAGCTTAATCTCTAGGAGAATATAGTGGAACCTACGCACGCATACATAACTCATCAATTACATTACTATAACCTCGAATAATAAGGGAAACCGAATATGCACAAGAAAGTAACACTCACTTGAAGTTGTAAGGAAAGAGTATTATAGCTTTGTTTTGATTTAATACCAACGATCGTAGCAAGTTGGCCTTGGTATCTTTTTCATGAAATTCAACCGTATATGCATCTATGAGATTTGTGTTAATGAACCCAATATCATCGATTTGTTTTTTCTTCAATTCGACGATCTTCAATCTGCATAATATAGTGAGGATAATTATAAATACATGCAATGAAAGAGCTGACCTATATAGAGAGAGTTAATGATAGAAGTAGTACTTACAGACAGTAGCAAGTGACCGTTAATTTATCCAGGGCCTTCTGATTGAAAAACTAGAAGAACTCCTCAAATGGAACATTCAACAGATCAATTCCAACGAGGTCGTGCTCCTCTTTAACTCTCAGCGTCAAAATATTCCTCCCCCCAGACTCTCTGCAGGTTTTCATGTACCAATCATGGAATCTTCGCATCATCGTTGTTAGAGATCTTTCATCTTTGACGAGAGGCTTCCCGTACTCGTATCTATGTTCGTCCACCTCCAAGAAATCATAATGTACATCGTAGGGCAGGTAATCTCCAAGATTGGTATAACCGGGCACCATCCTTGGATCATTAGCGACGATATCGCTAGACACCTTGAGCGGGGGGCACGATTGGTTCGCTTGTTCGCCGAGCTGGGCAATTTTTTTTCCTAGCTCGTCGTT